AAGTTAAATTTTTTTTTGTCTTAAAGAGTGTGTTGGGGTGCCTGGGTGGCTCAGTGGGTTAAAGCCTCTGCCTTCAGCTCAGGTCATGATCCCAGAGTCCTGAGATTGAGCCCCGCATCGGGCTCTCTGCTCAGCAGGAAGCCTGCTTCCTCCTCCTCTCTCTCTCTCTCTGCCTGCCTCTCTGCCTACTTGTGATCTCTGTCAAATAAATAAATAAAATCTTTAAAAAAAAAAAAAGAGTGTGTTAATACATTCACAAGTCTTGGAATCTTATGTTTTTGTTGTTGTTTAGTTGCAAATATTTTGTAACTCATCATTTTTTCCCTTGGCCCTTGAATTTGTAGGGAGTTTTTTGGGTTTTTTTTGTGGGTTTTTTGTTTTGTTTTGTTTTTTTGTTTCATTTTGTTTTGTTTTTAGTTTTGAAATATATAAAATGGGAATGACTATAGTTCTCATATTTAAAATTTCCTGTATCATTATGTTACAGGTGTGTTTCTAGATTGTAGTTTATGGTGTGTATTTGTGCTTTTCCTAAGGCTTTCTTTTAATAAGCTATGGGCCACTTAGATTTATTATTATAAATAAAATGTATCCTAATGTCTTAGGATATTCTTCTACTATCTTTGTAGTTTATATTTACTAGACTTTCTTTTTGGTTCTTTCTTCTATTTTTCTGCCTTGGATTTAAAAAATGTTCTTGATTACTTCCTTTCTACTAATTTGAAAGGTATGTATTCTGTTTTTGTTCTTTGAATGATTAATATTAAATTTTTTGTATCTGTTTTGGTACATAGATATAATTCTTATTATTTTAACATACATATTAAACAAAGATTAAGGTTAATCTCTATCACTCCTGTAAATATTACAAGGAAGTTTAGTGTGTAAGGTCCAGTGATACCCATCTTCTATTAAATTTTCTAAACATTTTAGTCCTCTTTTTTGGAGGGAAGGGAGATCAGTTGACTTCACTTTATTTTTTAATTTTTTTAAAAGATATTTTTTATTTATTTGACAGAGAGAGAGAGGTCACAAGTAGGCAGAGAGGCAGGCAGAGAGAGAGGAGGAAGCAGACTCCCTGCTGAGCAGAGAGTCCGATGTGGGGGTCGGTCCCAGGACCCTAGGATCATGACCGGAGCTGAAGGCAGAGGCTTTAACCCACTGAGTCATGCAGGTGCCAACTTCACTTTATTTTTAAATCTCAAATTTAGTCATCACTGTTAGTATGGCTTTTTTCCCACTATACAGTCATTACTATTTAGATTGATGCATATTTATGGATTTTTGTCTTTGCTTCTTTGTGTTTCACATCTGTGGGTTAAATTGCCTTCCCTTTACAAATAAATCCTTTAGTAGTTCTTTAATGAAGATTTGTAGGGCGTCAAATTCAGTTATTATCTTTATCTTGTGCTTGTTGTTGAAGGATGGTTTGGCTGGTTGTAGAATTCCACATTGATATTTTCCATCAGTAATGTGAATGTATTTTTCTATTGCCTTTTGCCCTCTAATGTTGCTGAGAAGTCTGTTCTTGATCTAACTATTGAACCTTTATAAGGTAATCCATCCTTTGTCTCTGGTTGATTTAAAATTCTTCACTTTGATGTACTTTGATTTTATTAGTCTCTGTGCAGTTTTTAATTTATTTGCTTCATAAAGTCAGAACATGGAATATACTTTTAGTCAAAGAACTTATGTCTTCAGCAAAGTTCTGGGAACTTTTAAGCTATTGTCTTCCTCTGTTCTTTGTATTTCTTGACCACATTCTATATATTATCCTCAGATCTCTTCTAGTTTGCAAATTTTCTTCAACTATGCTTAATGTACTGTTAAACTTATACTAAAGGTTTTAAATTTCAGTGGCAATATTTTTCATTTTGGAAGTTCCATCTGGTTTTTTGTTGTTGTTGTTAATTCTTTTGTCATTAGTTTCTTCATTTTTCATTATGGATTTGTCCTTTCTCTGCTCTTTAAATAAACATGTTTAAAATTATTTTATCTCTTTCAGATTGTTCTGTTTTTTCAAATTCTTAAGAAGCCATACCTCCTTTTTGTTGTGTCTGCTTACTGTCCTTTATACCGCATTGTTTTCTCATGTAATTTGTAGTTTTTGATTGTGTGTCCCTCCTCAGCAAGGTTTGTTTTTTTTTTTAAATGGGTACATATTAAAAAATCTTGGGTGTTTTATGGTGTGTGGAAGTAAGAATTGCTCACGAGGAATACCTAGAGTTTTGATTTCTCACAAGAGATATTTTTTTCTCCTCCTGTCCAAAGCCCCAGGAAGAATAGGCTTCACTTTCCTGGACCAGTGGACGTTGATTTTATATATGTCCTTTTCACTAAGAGAGCAGCCCTTCTAAGCTTCTAGGTTCATTTCCAGCTTCCTACCTCTGTAACTGTATCAGCATTAAATTTCCAGCCTTTAGCCTTTATATATGTATTTTAGATATAGATCTAAATATCTTTCCAAACAGCTTTCTGTCAGCTTTTAGATTACACCAGCTGTAAATCACTGATTAAGACTTTTTCTTTGCTTACTTTTTAAACTGAACTGTATATTTGAAACTTTACTTATTTTCTATATTTTATCAAGCATTTTATGTGTTTATTGCATTTTATCTAGAGATTGTAAAATGTTTTAAAAACTTTATCTTGTGTTTCTAGAAACCTGTGCTAATTTATTTTTATTTTATGTTTTACTACTTATCTTATTCTACAGTAAGGGTTTGGAAGCAAGATACCCTATTTTTAATATAACTAGTTGTTATGTTAATGTTTTTCATGAACATTTAAAAATATTTGTTTATTTTAGCAAAATTAATAAGAAAATAATTTTTGAGGGGCATCTGGGTGGCTCAGTGGGTTAAATCCTCTGCCTTCAGCTCAGGTCATGATTCCGGAGTCCTGGGATCTAGCCCCGCATCAAGCTCCTTGCTCGGCGGGGAGCCTGCTTCCCCCTCTCTCTCTCTGCCTGCCTCTCTGTCTACTTGTGATCTCTGTCTGTCAAATAAATAAATAAAATATTTTTTAAAAAGCAAAAAAAAAAAAAATTATTTATTTGGGATGCCTGGGTGGCTCAGTCGGTTAGGCTGCTGCCTTCAGCTCAGGTCATGATCCCAGAGTCCGGGGATCGAGTCCCGCATCTGGCTCCTTACTCGGCAGGGATCCTGCTTCTCTCTCCGCCTCTGCCTGCTTGTGTGCTCTCTCTCTGTCTCTGTCTCTGACAAATAAATAAAGAAAATCTTAAAAAAAAAAAAAGATTTTATTTATTTATTTGAGAGAGAGAGAGGGATGGCATAGAGGGAAAGGAAGAGGGAGAAGCAGACTTCCCACTAAGCAGAAAGCCTGATGCAGGACTTGATCCAAGGAACCTGAGATCGTGACCTGAGCTGAAGGCAGATGCTTAACCCACTGAACCACCCACACACCCAAGAAAATAAATTTTTAATTCCTCATTATGGAAAATAGTGCTTATTCCCTTCATGTTCTGTATCCTAGTAATCATTAGTATAGTAATCTGAAGTTATATACTTCATTTTTACTTTTTCTGTTTTCCTTCTGTTATACATTTAAGAATCTTATTCACATTTTTAGTGTGTTCTCCGCTGTATAGAAAACTAATTCTTTTCATTTTTACCCTTAATTTCCTCACTCCTGGGTTCTTAGTTTCATTTTTCCATGTTTTGGAACATTGGTTTGATTAATTTATTTGGAAAAGATGGCTAAGTAGTGTATTTACTTAGTTCTTAGGTATCTAGGAGTGTCTTTTGCCTTTATAAGTAAGCAACAGTTTACTTGGATATAAAATTCTTGGGATTTGGTAGGTGAAAGCTAGTTGTGGTAATGAGATCCAAAATTACAGATCAAATGAGACAGAAATTTAGTTCATCATAATCTAATACTTGTTATGTAACAGTGGTCCACGTAGGCTTGATAAATGACTTCCTAAAAGGCCATCCAGGCTGGCAGTGCCATCTCTGTCATCACACCATTTTGACTTCCATCTCTGGATGCCAAGGTTGGCATTGTGTTTTAGCCACTGGGAAGGAGGTAAGAGGAGTCCACAACAAGCAGATGTACCTATAAAATGATCCATTGTATACATCACTTCTATTCACATTTTGTTGCCTCAGATTTGGCATATAATCACATCTAATCTCAAGGGAGTCTGGGTTATGTAGATTCTAGCCTGACAATAGTCATATGCCTAGCTTAGAACTCAAATTCTTTCTCTAAAAGGAAGAGGGAAGAATGGATAGAATACTGGAAGATAGATGTCTCAACCACAGACACCCAGAAAATTTGCACTCAAATTTTGTTTCAGTCCTTATTTTTTCCTCCTATTTGTATGTATTCATTTTATATCAAGGATATTACTCTTGTATTTGTGGAAAATCTATTTTTTTTAAGTTTTGATATTGCCTTTTAAATCTGTATATCATATTTTTTGTACTTTCTCAGTTTTTAAACTTACCCTTCCTTTTATTCATATAGTTTATATTCTAACACATAGATTGATTTCTTCTCTTATATTGGCTTAACCATTATTACATCAAACTATCTTTAGCTTTTCATTATTACTCTTTGCCTATTCTCATTAGCAATTTCTTATGGATAAAAAATTTTTATACTGTCACAAGGAAACTTATAGAAGATACTGCTGTAGGAGCTTAAGGGAAATAGAGGTAGTATTGGTAGTGACAGCTTTCTAAACTGGATGTAGAAATACTCAGAGTGCCCTTCCCTAGAGTGAATGTAAATTAAACCACTGTGTTTTTTAGCAAAGAGAATCCTAGAAAAGTAGCTGGGGTCATTGATTAAAGAGATAACTAGCTGCTACACTTTCAATGATGGGATTTTATATTCCTTCTAGTAGAAGTTATCTTTGGTTTATTTGTGTAGGATTTTAGAGGTAGCTTTGATGTGTAATTACTTTAAGTCAGTTTGATTATTACCTAGAAAATGAGAGGAAGGTAACTCACTTGTTAATATTGCTTTTCAAGGGAGAAAATCAGAAAATATATTTTTGGAGAAGTTAAAGGAAGACAGTATTCCTGGTCCTCGCTCTGCTGGCAGTATTAAAATCAGCTTTACCCCTAGAGTATTTCCAACTGCTCTCCGAGAATCACAAGTAGCAGAAGAAGAAGAGGTAGATATGCTTTGTTGTTAGTTACAGTGATCACAAATGAAAATGCTTTATTTTTTTATTTCATCTATTACTGTTACACTTGCCACATAATTTATCAAATACATCATTTGCATATTAGATTTGTAAACTTGTGTTTTGGTAAGGGATCCAAATGTGTTTGGTAAGGGATTTGGACATTTTTGTTAATATATTATTAAAACTAATTATTATTATCATCAGGTATTTCTAATGTGACATTATAGAATATCTCTCATTCACTTATAAATTCCTGGGCCCTGGGATTTTGAATGTTATATCTTTAGTTATATAAGCACTAAGAACTGCTTTTTTTTTTACTACAAGATATTAGTTGTCGCCTCTCACAATTGAAAAGTTGTGGAAGTAATCGAAGATCCTTAAGACATGACAATTTATAAATATTAACTATTTTGGGAGCACCTGGGTGGCTCAGTCAGTTAAGTGTCTTCCTTCGGCTCAAGTCATGATCTTGGGGTCCAAGGATTGAGCCCTGAGTAAGGCTCTCTATTCAACAGGGAGTCTGCTTCTCTCTCTCCCTCTATAATCTCTCCCTTTCTCTCAAATAAATAAAATCTTTAAAAAATATTAACCATTTTCTTATTATTGAATAATAAATTCTGAATTTTATTATTTGTAAAATTATATCTAGAACTATAAAATTATAATATTTAAGTCATTTATATTTTTTCATTATAGAAAAACAAATATATTATAAACAAGAAAAGTAAAATAATAATCACATGAACTCCCAGAAATCTGTGAAATTTGGATTTGAAATTTTTAAACATCTGATCTTTACCAGCTAGTAATGTTAAACTGAAAAGGCTAAAAACTGGAAGTTTAAAATCACATTATCAAATAGTATATTAGTTTACTCAGGCTGCTATAACAAAATACCTTGGACTGGGTGGCTTAAACAACAGACATTTCTCAAAGTTCTGGAGGCTGGAAATTCCAAGATCAGGTACAGGAGTGGTGGAACGAGAGTTGTGCTCTGGTCTTTCCCTCTTCTTAGAAGGTCACTAATCTCATCATGGGGACCCCAACTTCATGGCCTCATCTAAATCAAATTACCTCCCAAAAGTCCTGCTTCTAAACACCATCACATTGGGGATTAGGGCTTTATCATATGAATTTTGGGAGACACAAACATTCAGTCCATAACAAATAGTATTTCCATCTCATGGTAGAAGCTGAGAAATCTCAAAGTAGCTATTAATAAAAATCAAACTTTTGTGTCCTTTATTAGACTTTACCCTCTGATTTCAGTGGTTACACAAACAAGCAGAGGCACGAAGAGCACTGAATACTGATATTCCTGAACTTTCTGATTTAAAAGAAGAAGAAAAGAACCCAGAATGGCTGAAGGACAAAGGAAAGTAAGTTGCTTGAACTCTGGCTATGAGATTTATAATAAATTAGGTATACATTAGTACTTACTACAGCTTCAAGATATCTTCCTATATGTGCCTGTGTGTGTGTGTTGTTGGGCAAAGATAATGCAAATAAATAAGTTAGGCAGGGCTTCCTTATTTAAAAAGTCAGATCATATAACAAGGCTCATATTTATATTTGTTTTTGTATTTAAATGTCATAGAAATTGAATATATGACATCTTTTGGTGTACTTATTAAAATCCCTTTTATTTTTTTAAATATATATATATTTTTAAATTTTATTTGTTTATTTGACAGAGAGAGAGAGATCACAAGTAGGCAGAGATGCAGGCAAAGAGAGAGGGGGAAGCAGGCTCCCCACTGAGCAGAGAGCCCAATGCAGGGCTTGATGCAGGGCTCCATCCCAGGACCCTGAGATCATGACCTGAGCCGAAGGCAGAGGCTTAACCCACTGAGCCATCCAGGTGCCCCTTAAAGTCCCTTTTAAAATCACCTAAATTTAGCATAAGTTCTTCCTAATCTCTCTCTCAGAAATGTGTTTTTTAGGGCACCTGGGTGGCTCAGTCAGTTGAGTGTCCTACTCTTGATTTGGGCTCTGGTCATGATCTCAGGGCTGTGAGATGGAGCCCTGTGTTGGGCTCCTCCTATGCAATCTGCTTAAGATTCTTTTTCTTCTTCTCCCTGTGCTCCTCCCTACTTAAAAACAAACAAACAAACAAACAAAAACAACAACAACAAAATCACAATTCCCTCTCTTAAAAGAAAAAAGAAATATGTTTTTTAGAAATTAGAGTTTCTTTGATTATTCATTTCCATCTTCAAAAGATTACCAAATTATCTTATAAATTATCATTTTATATGCAGGAAATCCTTTCATTTATTTACTTGTTGCTCTGTGTGAATATTTTATACAATTATTATTATTTTTTTAAAGATTTTATTTATTTATTTGACAGAGAGAGAGAAAGAGAGATCACAAGTAGTCAGAGAGGCAGGTAGAGAGAGGTGGGGGTTGGGGAAGCAGGCTCCCTGTTGAGCAGAGAGCCCAACTCGGGGCTCGATCCCAGGACCCTGAGATCATGACCTGAGCCGAAGGCAGAGGCTTAACCCACTGAGCCACCCAGGTGCCCCTATTTTATACAATTATTAAAAACAGTGAATTTTGATACATTATGAATGGCAATTTGAATTCATATTTTGAGGCCTTTGTCGATGCCTATCTTTAGGTTTTTCATTATTAATGAAACTATCTTTATCTTTAGTTTTTCATTATTACTCTTTGCCTATTCTCATTAGATGTTACTTGTTATATTTCATTATATAGGCTTTTATATTATATTTCTATTGTTGCCATAACAATCTACCATAAACTTAGTGGCTTAAAATATCACAAATTTATTATCTTACAGTTTTAGAAGTCAGAAGTTCAAAATGGGTTTCACTGGGCTAAAATCAAAGTATCAGTTGTGTTCCTTCTAGAGCCTGTAGGGAAGAATCTGTTTTCTTTTGTTTTCTAGTTTGTAGGCTGCCTATGTTCCTTGGCTTCTGGCTGCCAGCCATCAATTGCATCACTCTGACCTCTGCTTCCATAATCCCATCTCCTTCTCTGATCCTGACTCTCCCACTTCCCTCTTTCTTTTGTAAGGATCCCTGTGATTACATTATTCTCATTTGCATAATCTCCCCCCTCAAGACCTTAATTTAGCACAGCCAGGGAATCCTTCCTATCCTGTTAGATGACACCAATGTAGGTTTTGAGGATTAGGTTCTGAGGATTAGGATATGGACATCTTTTGGTGGGGGGAAGTTTTCTATTACCTGTCTACCACATGTCTGTATTTTTCTTTTCTTATCTTTCCTCTGTTCTTTCTTGGTCTTTTCTCCTGTATGTTACACCAGGGGTTGATATGTTGGGTTGAGCTGAAGGGTCAGTTTTTCTGAAGGTCAGAGGCCTGGGCCTGACAGGTTGATTTCTCTTACTTCCAACATTAAAGTCCTATATGATCCTTCCTTCTCTTTCTTCCCTTCCTCTCCATTTACTCAACCATTAAATAAACATCTGTTGATCTTGTTATTTACTGGACTATAGTCTAGGCTCTGAGCTACAAGGATCAGTGGATATACACAAATAATTATACAATACTGTGTGGGAAGTACAATACATAGAAAAGAACAAGGTAAAATTAGAAGAGGGTACTTACCTTTAAAGGGAGGAAGGTAGGTTCAGAAAAAGCTTCATAGGGAATGTAGCACCTGAGCTCCTCTTAATGATAAGTAGGAGTTTCAAGAGAAAAGGAAAGAAAAGCATTCATTTCAAGTAGTGAGATAATGTGAACAAAAGCTCAAAAAAACAAGAAATAGTGTGGACAGGAACTATGTGTGGTTTATTTTTTACTAAAACATAAAATTTGAGGCTATGAGTAATGACAACTGAACCTAGAGAAATCACCAAGGGCCTCATGTACTTGGTTAAGATTCTTTTTTTTAATTTATTTTTTAATTCGAGTATAATTAACACACAGTGTTATATTAGTTTCAGGTGTACAGTATAACTATTGAACATTTCTATATGTTACTCAGCGCTCATCAAAATAAGATTATTTTTAATCACCTTCATCTATTTCACCCCCCCCCACCTCCCCTCTGGCAGCTACCAGTTTGTTCACTGTATTTAAAAATCTGCCTTTTTTTAGATTTTATTCTGTAAGCTGAGGGGGGGAAACGTTGCAGAAAACATGGCGAAGACCTTAAACTGCCTTTACTGTAGATGCTGTTGTAGGGGTGAAGAGGAGGGCAACTTGAGAAATATTTAAGAGGTAAAATAGGCAGAACTTCTTGTTTGATTTTTGGGGAGTAAGATGAAGGAGTCCCCAGTTTCTAGTTTGGATGATTGATTGCATGATGCCACCAGCTAAATTAGAGAATACAAGACGAGGGGCTAGTCAGGAGAAAATGGGAGTTAAGTTCAGTTTTTAATATGTTGAGTTTAAGATGTCTCTGGGCCAGTCTGGGTGACACTGCCCAGCAAGTCCGAACCTAGAGGAGAAGCCAACACTACAGAAATAGATTTGGAGGTTATCAGCATTTATACTGTAGTTCAATTTATAAAAGTGAAAAAGGAGCTGAGATAGGCAGAGTGTGTAGACCAGGAAAGTAGTGGCCTGAGGGTAGACACTCCATGAGCTACCAGCGTTTGAAGGTTTTGCAAAAGAAGGGAGTACACAAAATACTCCCAGAAGCCAATGGAGTAGAACTTTTAAAGAATTTTTGTTTTGTGTTGTTTCCTTAAGAATATAAAAGATTGGGGGCACCTGGGTGGCTCAGTGGGTTAAAGCCTCTGCCTTCAGCTCAGGTCACGATCTCAGAGTCCTGGGATGGAGCCCCGCATCGGGCTCTCTGCTCAGCAGGGAGCCTGCTTCCTCCTCTCTCTCTGCCTGCCTCTCTGCCTCCTTGTGATCTGTCAAATGAATAAATAAAATCTTAAAAAAATAAATAAAATAAAATAAAAAAGAGCCTATCCCTGGGGAAAAAAAAAAAGATTGGATAGCTTTGGAGACAAGAGAAAGAAGAAATGATTGAAATCTCTCAGAGCAGAGTAGAGAAAATTGGGTGAAAGCCAAGAATAGATGGATTCTCTTAGTTTTGTTTTCCTTTTCCTCTTTTTAAAAGTTGCATTCATTTTAAAATTTTATAATAACAAATATTTTGGGGGGAAGAAATTTACACAGCACATATTAAATGAAGGTCTCTCTTTTTCACCCATTCTACTTGGCCAACTGCTTGCCCTGCCCTCGAGCTCTAACATTCTAACTCATTTCTTTAATTGCATTTGCTTATCTCTAAACTGCCATTGTTGGGATCACAGTTAATATGTTCATAACTTGTGATGGTTTACAAGAGCTTTTGTTGTATTTATATTATCTCATTAAATCCTCGTAACTATAAGGGTAGTTACTTACCCCTATTGGGTAGGACCTACTCCTTTTGCACTATTTAACAAATGTTTATTGAGAAACTAGCAGCTATACACAAAATAGCTCACTTAATTCCTATAACAATGTGACTAGTTGGATATTATTGTTTTTATCCTCTTCTTACAAACATGGAAAACAGGGGTAGAGAGGTTAAGAAAACATGGCTAAGGTGATGGTTAATGAGTAAAACCAGGATTCAATTCCAGGTCAGTATGATTAAAAGCTTGTATTCTAACTACTGCTGTATACTTTTCACAGATGAATAAAATCTACTTCCTGTCCCTTCATTCCAATTGTGAAGGCAGTCTAAGTGGTTTGGTTATGAATTGCTCCTCCTTGCAATCTGAGAATGCTAAAGTGAGCAAAGTTGACTGGGCTGTCCTGTTGGATTGATTACTTTGCTCTAGAAAATGTTGACAGATTGACTTAGAATAGATAGAGATACTTAATTTTCTGAAATTGGAGGAAAGAAAGTGAAGACAAGTATGGATCTAGATAAGAGAAATTGACTGGTGAATACTATTGGCCCTGCCAGGTTGGAGAACATGAATTTATAGAGATGTCAGTACAACTGTGTGATTTATCTCTTATAGTGTTTAGTATTTTGAATTTAAGAATAGATCTATAGGCCAGAGTGGGAATTTTAACTGACAAGTACAGTAAAAGACTAGTAGTGCAAGGGACCAGATTGCTCATGGAAAAATAGCTCAGATGTTTAGCCATGAAGTCCAGGATGAGTTAGAAAGGAAGAAACGCCACGAGGGACACATTGGACTAAGAGAAAATGGAGCAATTAAGAAGTTAAAGGGTATTGTAAGGTTGAAGATTTAGTATAAAGGGAAAGTTGGTAGACTAGAAATTTCTAATTGGTGGCTGGGATTCTAGAGTTTTATATTTCTGAGGTAGTGCAGTTCAGGTGATGACGGAGGCCAATATATAATCCTGGGAGTGGGTAGCAAAATGTGTTGTTGAAAGAAAGATATGCTGAGTTAAGGAGTGCTATGTATT